GGGCCCAATAGTGTAGGAGAAAGCACCGTGCGACAACTCTTTCGACAAATTTCGTTCTGGAGATTTCAGTATTGAAGATGAAACCTCGTAGCGGTCGAGCTAAAAGCATCTGACGAGGATTGAAGGCGTTTGGAGGCTGACCCATCCCAAACAGTTCGAGAGATTGCAGAAAAGCTAGGCGTTGGCAAATCCACTGTTGCAGATGGTCTGAAACGCATTGGGAAGGTGAAAAACTCGATAAGTGGGTGCCCCAAAGAGTGACCGGCAGAAATTGGCACGTTTCGGGGTTTCCTCTTCACTGCTTTTGCGCAACAGAAACGACCCGTTTTGGACCGAATTGTCACCTGTGATGAAAAGTGGATCATGTATGATAACAGGAGACGTTACGGACAGGTTGGACGCCGACGAACCACCGAGGCAATTTCCAAAGCCGAATCTTCACCAAAAAAAGGTTATGGTCACAGTGTGGTGGTCATCGGCTGGTGTGATCCACTATAACTTTTTATCACCAGGCCAAACCATCACAGCAGAGTCCTACTGTGAAGAAATCGACGAAATGTACCGTTGCGTCAGCTGCAGCCAGCACTTGTCAACAGAAAGGGTCCGACGCTGAGAACTTTCCGGACAACCTAATAAAAAGCTAAAACCGCATGGGTCCAGATGCTGAGTATGTAGCTGAAAAGGCTACGTCTCTCAGGAATACTAATAATACTTTAAGTGATTCGAAGTTTCCAGTTTCGACCTCATAGACAAGCATCGAACCTAATGCCCTATTCTGTCCAGCTGAGAGCTTGCGGAATTACCTTATTCGCTGAGAATCATGCCAAAGATTGAGGGATCGTTAGAGGTCATAGAATGCTTCCTTATCATTATCAAGCATCACCTTCACTTGAGTGGAGAAATTCAAAACTCAGTGGATGGGTTCCGCAGGCACGCGATACTCTTTTGCAAGGTCCGAATTCCCACCACTTGATAGCTTGGAACCAATGTTCAAGCTGTCGTAAGACGCATCTTTCGTGTTCATATATACCACAAGGTTTGAGCTTCTTCTGTAGATTAAGAGCCGAGATACAATTCAAAAAGTAGTTGTCGAAAACTCACTTTTGGGTCGACCAGAATTTTCCTTTTAATGAAATAAAAATCATGAAACAGTAGGGAGGTAACCACAGTGTCTTATAGAGCAGGAAACAGTGTGGGACATATTGGGAACAATTGTCGTTGTTCATATAAAAATTTGTGTGACAAACAAACGCCAATACTTATGGGCCAACCCAATACATTAATTGAACTCAGTAAATTTCAACTTTGACAGGTATCTGGAGCAAATCCGCCGTTTAACCGATGCACTTCCACCGACACTGATGGTTCATGGGGTATCATCAGTCATTTCAACGGCACTCTAATACTTTATTCACAAATTATGTCCTAAATGTCTTAATTTATTTGTTTGTATATTTTCCTTGCACGGATTTTATTCATCTCAGTAGTGCTTTTTGCCCAAGCGCGTAGTCCAAAAGTCTCACTGGTGCTACAGTAATAATCTAATACTTGAGCCGTGGTAATTCGATAATTCTATAACTTATTCAGCGTTGCAGTTCTACCCCCCCCCCTTTCCCGCTCCACCCTTACTCATAGTCTGAAACGACATGCTCCTTAACTACAGCCTTCTGCTGAATTCATGCAAGACAAATGGTCAAGTGAGTTTAGCTGTATAACAGCTAGTTGAAAACGTGCATTGATTCCTCTTTATTACAGTTTATTTGGCCTTGTCTTCATGATGGTGCATTATCTTTTTTGAATTCTTGAACTATTTACCATGTTGTATATCTGAAAGACTGTTGCCCATTTTGATTGCACTAATTAATTTGTGATAATGTATCACCTTTTCTAGTGAAATGTCTAATTCTTCTATAATTTTCTTCTTCTCTGTGATCAATGGTGGTTGTAGTGAAAATAAAAGCGGTGTATGTATCCTCAAGTGAAAACCCTTTAGTTTCCGGAAAAATGCTATAATTTCGTTGGCGACTCTGGTGACATATTGCCGGTAACGTAGGGGATGGCAGATATGTGATGACAGGACAAGTGTAAGGCGCAGTATGTCGACGGCGGGGGGGGGACATTTCGTACTATCAGTGCTTCCTTGGTTCCGGTTTACATGTCTCACTCTGGCGAGACCTGTGAACTCTTGCGATGGAACAAGCGTCCCTCAGCTCAGTCGTGTTAAAACCCTGTCAACTCGAGAAGAGGCTGTCTAGATAGGTCGACACGTCGATTGGAAGTAGCAAAAGAGCAGAATGCCTCCCCCGCCCTTCGCTGCTCCAATTGACCAAACTCGGCGGACTATTAGGTTGTCCGGAAAGTTCTTAGCGTTTTGGGTGTTTAACTTTAAACGATCATAACTTTCTTAACACTCATCGGATTTAATCCAAATAAGCACCATTCGAATCAGCACACTTTTGCCAATGTGGCAGCAGTCGAGAAATCCCATCAAAGAAAAAACTGGGTGGTCGAGAATCCACGAAATCTGCGAAGGTCTTTTTTGCCTGGTCTTAATTGATGAAGTATTTTTCAGCAAGGAAGTTCTGAAAATGTCTGAAAAGGTGACAGTCGGTTGGTGAAAGGTCTAGAGAATATGGTGGGTGAGGTAGAACTTCAACTCCCAATTCGTTCAATTTATGGATAGTGATTTGTGAAACGTGTGGGCGGGCGTTGTCATGCAAAAGAATCGGACCCTTTCTTTTGAATACGTGTTGGCTGGCAGCCTGACCCTATTTTCGGTACATTCTGGTCCGGTTTGTTCACAAGTACGGGTTTCTGCCGTGATGTTTGGCCTGTGATGAAAGTTAATAGTGGGATTACGAACAGCCGATACCACCAAACGTGACCAGAAATTTTTTTATTCTACGACGAGGCGTTCGGCTTGAAAATTAACGCATCGGTGGGTTCTCCGAAATCCAACACACTGTCCCGGCAGCGCGCCGTTTATACATAATGATGCCGATTTTTCCATCACAGGTGACAAATCCGTTCAAAAACGGGTCAATTCTTTTGCGCAAAAGCAGTGAAGAAGGAACCTCGAGACGTGCCGATTCCTGCCGGTCACTCCGATTGTGGGGCACCCAATTGTCGAGTTTTTCACCTTCCCAATGCGTTCCAGACCATCTGCAACAGTGGATTTGCCAAGGCCTAGCTCTTCTGCTATCTCTCGAACTGTTTGGGATGGGTCAACCTTCAAAATCCCCCTAAAATCCTCGTCAGATATTGCTTTAGGTCGACCGCTATGAGGCTCACCTTCAAGGCTGAAATCTCCAGAGCGAAATTTATTGAGCCATTGCCGCACAGTGCTTTCTTTAGCACTATTGGGCCCCCACACCTGGTTAATTTGTTGAGCTGTTTCGATTGCCCCAATTTATAGCCGAAGAAAAAAATCGTCCGAAGTGCTCTTTTCACATGCTTGAAAAAATCTTGAAAAAAGAGGGTTTATCAAGCAATGGTGAAACGGCAATTATACCATCAGATAGCGCAAGAAATTCTCTACAGGATGTGCTACTGAGAAGCAAGGGCAGAATGAGTTTTTAATCAGCAGTGAAATGTACAGGAAATTAGGTGGCATCAAAACACGCCTAAAGAACTTCCCGGACAAACCTAAATAGCAAGCGGCCGGCGCAGCTGCTCACACGATACTCGCCGCGCCCACGCACGACGCGACACTCATGTCCATCTCTCAGCGATGGTTTGGTCGAGAGCTCGATCCGAGACCTGATCCAATGACCGGGTACATGATAAGCGTAAGAGATGCCACAACTGTTCTCCTAAAGCTCATCGGATTGTATAGTTCCGGACTCGTTATGACTTGAAGACTAGATGGCAATCTTATGTGACAGAGGCGATCTCTTTCCATTGGTAGGGACCTCGTTTACTTTCAGGCGCTGTCAGTGTGTGTCTCGTCTATAACTGGGAATATTTCACTTCGATCTGATAGCGTGGAGCTTTACAACACAGAACTGCAATCTTTATCACCTTGTTGTAAAGAATTCACAGTCATTCCAGTCATAGGGGTGGCCAACAAAAAATAGTTCATGTTCCTAGGGCTTATGAGGAGGTAAATGAATAGTGAGGACAAATATAACATATCCCTGAAACCGGTGATGAAGCTGTCGGGGTTGAGTCATGAAAAATAATGGACCGTAGCAGCCTTGCCTCAAAGGCTTTATCGTTAGACTACTCTACTAGCGACATTTTTGGAACCTGAACGCTTCTGACTAAACTGTGAAATATACACAGCTGTCACATGCTCACGAGATTACTGTACAGTCTTGAGCTCGACGGCGATAACGGGTGCCTTTACCTTGTAATCGTGAGGGTGTGGAGTACTAGTAGAGAAATAAGTTGGAGAAATGACATCATTGGTCTTTCATGTGCTTGTCTCGCCGTGTTTCCTCATAAACTCATTAACTCGATAAACAAACTGTTTCTTTATTGGCCGCTAATGTGTACTGCCATTACGGCCATGCCCATGGAGCTGCTCCAATTTGCCTCTGGTAACCATTACCAAAGCCGAAACTTCGTCCACCGCTTCGTCCAGATCCTCCAAAAGCGAGATCGAAATCACGACGGATACCAAGGCCACCTACAGGTGTTTCGACACCCACACCTGTCGCAATGTTCACGTCCCCGAGACCTAAGTGACATGCTTCTTAAGTTCTGAAAACAACTGGCGAGATTTTTTTTACCTGGTCCCCAACCAGGTCCCATATCAGGGACAAGTCCTGTGCCTGCTTCTCCTCTTTCATAGTTCTGCCATCTGGCAAACTCGCTTGCACTTGGCGCTGCGAGCTGCCTGCCTATCGGTAGGTATCTCCTCAAAGATACGATTCAGAATACACGTCATGCGACCACACCGACTATATATATCCAGTAAATCTGCGTAAATTCGAAAGACTACAATCACCTGACAGTGGTCGCTGACCTTGAACTTGATTTATGTGGCTTGCAATTTCGAGGATTCAAATCACATACAATTTCAGATAGACTTCTACTCTCAACTGCTGCAAATAACATCAATAGGCTAAACATTACACAGAGTGAATGATGAAATCTTACCGACAGTGGCACTTACAAAAACTAAAAACAATCTCATTTCGATCGAGATGGACGCCGCTCTCAATTCGCTTATTGAATTTTCTTGACACTGCCTAGTTTACACTGTCATTTGCTTCGCGGCGTAAACATTGAAATAGACGAAGAAACAACATTTATTATACAAGTGCAAAGAGTTGAAGCAAACTATAATATGAAAAAAACTATGAACATCTTCCTCGGAGAAAAAAGTCAAGGGAAGGCAACAAGGTAAGAGCAGAACGACACCAAGTAATGCAATATACAATTCAGGTAAAAT